AATGATAAGCTTTATAGCACAAGTACATGTTTTAGAAACGAGCAACGTTAGGACCGAATTTTCAAATTTCTAAGAATGTAATAAGGCAACATTATAAATGAGTTGCTTACCCTATTTTTTTGTATAACAAGATTAAAAATTTATAAGAGAATCAAGCTTAATTTTGCGAAACAACTTTTTTGTGACGTCTCGGTTATTCGACATCTGTGCGAGAAAACGGTGGTCGGCTGTTCCGGTTTCGGCTACGGCCCCACGATTCTGTCGTTGAGATTGACTGAATGTTTGATGACGCAATGATTTCTGCCTGAAAATTTAATACATCAACATTTGTGCCGTATAATGCCCTTTTATGAACAATTTTTGCCACAGAAAAGGTCGTTTATAATGTTTGTAAACAAAACACTTATTTACGATACTAATGCACAGTCAGAAAATGGAATTTTAGGGGACGACAGATAATAGAAGCAGGATTAATGAAATGAAAAAAGTTTCAGATTTTCTTACGAGCTGTAAATTTTATTCGTGAAAACTTGCAAGCATTCTAGTTGAAACTCGGCAAAATTTGACGGTGAGAACAGAAAAGATGCAGCTCGTATAATCAACAGAATACAAATGCCAACTTCTCGCATTTAAGAATATTGTATTTTTGTATTTACGAGCAATCTCGTAATTTTTCGCATGTCCTTTCAATCCACAGCAAATATTAATAACAGCAAGACCCATCTTCTTAAAGCCCGCTCCTAAATGTTCAGCCTACCAATAATTTTTGACAGCAGCTAGATAGCTGAACCGAATTCAGACACTGTCATGAGGACGTTTCTAGCGGTCGCTTGCGCTAATCGGTATTTCTCCGTGTTTTCACACTCTTGAATGCGCTAGACGTCCCGTGATTCAGTGGGGAGCTTATTGCTTGCCCGTGCAGCGGTAGCGCCCCGCTGGGGGAGATACCTGGATACCTACCAACTTGCAAAGTCTCAAGAACATAACTAAAACCTTTAATACGGATGTGGGCTATAGTTTCATTACTCAGGTACTTCTCCGCATTGTTGAGGACGGCACTTTGCCAGGCCGCTCTGTAATGAGAAATATGGATGAAACAGTACATGATATAAAGACGTATCACACATATCGATGTGAAACACATTCGGATGATTTTGAATCTTTTTAATTTGCTAAAAAAATCAAAACTTAACCTATTTTTACATTAAAGGGGGCGTTGAACTCAGCAGGGCGAGTGCGCTAGGAGCACAGTATTCTTTCCCGCTATGAATTAAGGGGGTCTTTCACTTTTGACTAAAACCTTTTCGCGGGCCACAATAAACGGTATTACTAGGCTCCCGGGTGACGCGCCGCGTCACATGGCGAAGTGGCGACGTTTTTGCTCGCCATTCTATCGTCCTTCCTAAGGCGTAATGCCGCGAATGGCGCCCTGAAACGTCGACACTTTCGCCATGGACGCGGCGTCACCCGGACAGCCTAGTAAAACTGACTCCAGCCGCGAAGTACGCTCTTCCTCAATAAACGGCACGCCGTGTGCGCCCAGTTGGCCCACCCTGATGTACGTAATACATAGTTTTTGAGTGTGTCGGTTGTGGGTCGGCAGGCGCGGCGGTGGGCGCGCCGGGCGGAGACGGTGCGCGGCGCGGACTGGGCCAGGCTGGGCGGGGCGCTGGCGGCGCTCCGTGAGCACGGCGGTGCTGTGTTGGCGGGGGCGGCGGCGAGGGCGGCGGCGGCGCGCCTGGACGTGGCGCGCCTGCGCCAGCTGCTGGCGTCGCGCGTGCTGCCGCCTCTACCCGCGCCTCACGCCGCCGCCCGGTGCCGCTGCCGGCTGGTCCGCCGGCGCGGCCCTGCTGGCTGCCCGACGCCGCTTCTGCATCGCAAGCACGTGTTCGCCGGCCCGAGACGTCGCCACCGAGCGAACAGCTGCAGGTGGGTGCACGCACCGCTCAAACGTGCGCCCATCTGTATGTGTGTTGTGTGTCGGTGTGTGAGAGAGAGAGAGGAGATTTTGAATGGAGACAAAGACAGTGTTCGCCTTTTTCTTCAAACATTTCGCTAGCTACATAGCAGTGTTCTATCAACCGCGTAATTACATGTATTTACTGTGTAGCGTGACAACTGTATGCGTTGTGTGTGTGTGTGAGAGAGAGAAGAGAGAGTGCAGTGATTTGAATGAAGATAAACACAGTGTTCGCTTTTTCTTTCAAAATTTACCGCTAGCTACATAGCATGTATCTACATCAACCGCGTAATTACTTCATTTACTGTGTATGCGTGACAACTTATGTCGTGTGGTGTGTGTCGTGTGTGGGTATTGAATGAGAGAGAGACAGTGTTTGGTCCTTTTCTTCAAAGATTTACGCCAGCTACATCAGATAGTCGAATTCAACAGCGCAATTACTGTAATTTACTGTGTTAGCCGTGATTACTGTATGTGCATATTTATGACTTCTGATTTTGCGTGAAATTTGGCCACTATTCTTTGCGTTTATAGAGCATTAGGGAGCTACCACTTGAAACACATACGCCTATTTGGAAGTGGTATGGTGTGGTTTTGAATTACTCGCTTCTTCGGTTAAACATCTCACTTTGAGGCACCCCCTGGCGAAATTTATGCAGCGAGAAGATACAAAATTATTACATATACATTCTCGAAAGAAGAAAGTTAAATCGAAATATCCATTGCAAACATGAAATTTGAAACACATTAATTACCTAAATGCAAATGTCGTGTTGTCAAGAAGTCGAAGGCAAAGTTGCACATTTCAAGAATTATAAGTTATTTTTCAAATATGAATACGAGTTATTTCATTTGAGAATAACTCATGCTTTCCGGCGTGCCAGCGAAAGCAATTGGTTGTTCGTGTTCGTGATGGATGAGGAGGTGCGTAGTTTACGTTGTGCGTATGAAATACTGTGACGCATCGTAATAATACATTCAACCAGGTGCACTCCGGCAGGTGGACCCTGCTGGCCCGTACGCGGCCCTCGCCCCTGGGTGTGTCCCCGTTCGCCATAAAGCCGCGCTTCCATTAGCGGAATGTCCGCCTGCCGTTAGAACAACGGGCCCTCAGGGCTGCCGCAGGGGCCGCAAGGGTCGGGAGGGGGGGACAGCGGGGACTTGCCTAAGGCGCAGCGGGGCGTCACGAGCCCGAGAGGAGGTGCGGGGTGGGACTGCCCCGGGTGCGAGGAGGAGCTGTGGTTGTAGTATTGTACACTTTTACACTCGGATAAATCAATTTAATTCATATATTGCATTGAAATACATTATACTATATTTATAATTATATATAGTTTATATATTATATAATATATATACCAATGTATGAAAGTAACGTAATTAAAACATTTTATGAAATGTTTTCATAAAAAGCGGGTTCTGTTTGGTAACCGGTTAGCGAATCAGGCTTTGTTATCCAAGTTTGCTGTGTTTAAACCCGATCGCAGCTGTAGCATTTTTAAGGGCGCAATTCTGTCGGTACGCCTTCCTACGGAGGGAAGTAAATCCGCGTCTCCATGTTGTAAGAATTACAGCATGTAAAAGAAGCATTCGAGCTAAATTCCAAATCCCCTGTTTTTTCGTCTGAGTACTACACCTTTTTCACAACTAGATTGTTGTAAGGAGCAAAGCGTAAATTGCGAATAAAAGTTCCTCCGTCTGTAAATAAGGCATCTAACAAAGTAAAATAAGTGTGCAGTAAACGCTCAGAGTTTTTATGTGAAATGTATTTCGTCACACCCTGCGGAGAATGCTGTATTTTAACATTACAGTTTCGGCCCTTATGTCTGCATTTACGATTATAATACAAAGGGTCTGTGACAAAATAAAGTGACGGTATTTCTGATAC